TGCTTGATTGCCCTCTACGGCAGAGCACGCCATAGTGATCTTAAGCGGGTTGATTTCATCGAGTGGGACATTCCTTCCTCGGGGGCTGGTTCAACCGAAGGCTGCCAGGGGTACATAATAATATACACCCGACACCACAAGACATCGCGGGCCACTGCAAAGAAGGCTCGCTTGTTGCCAATCATCGTGCCGGTGGCTGGAATACACTCTCGGCCATGGATCTTCGCAGCTAAGGAAGCCTTTGAGAAGGTAGGGCTCTCTTTGTCGGGAGAAGTAAAAGGGCCTCTGTGTAGGCCTCCGAAGGATCTTGACTCAAAAAGCTTGTGCAACCGCAGCGTGACTTCCGATGAGATCTCCATCTTTGTTCGGCTGGTCTTGGGCCTCGGCAGAGAGGCTCCCGAGCTTGGTGAGCGTGTGACCAGTCATAGCCTTAAGCGAACTTGCCTCTCGTGGGCCAGCAAGGCAGGTTTCGATCGCTTGACCAGGTGCTGCCTAGGTCGTCATGCATACGCAACTGAGGGCACTGAAGCAATCTACTCCGTGGAGTTAGGGCTGCCTCATGTTCAGAAGCTTGAGTCGCTGCTCCGATTCATCGTGACTGGGACTTTTGCGCCAGATGCCTCTCGGTCCTTGATGTGGGCCTTCCCGCCACCAGCAGGTGATGTTGCTCCCCCGGCGCAGCAGATCATTGCTAGTGAGCCTGTTGTGGGCATTCCCGAGGTGCCGACTGACATCGGGGAAGAGGCGTCGGGGGACGAGGGGCAAAGCAGCTGCTCCACTTCAAGTAGTAGCAGCAGCAGCGAGTCCAGTTCATCGGACGGGGGTGCGAAGCCGCTAGCTAAGAAGGCGAGGGTGTCTGATGCAGTTCCGAACCGCATTGATGCAGAGGGTGGCTGGGTTGTGCACAGACGCTCCCAGATTTTGCACCGTGTGTATCGAGAAAAGATTTTGGTGTGTGGAAGGCCACGCACTCCGGCTTATAAAGCTGTTGAGGACGTAACGCGCATGGGAAATCTCGTGTGCAAGACTTGCCAAAGGAATTCCAGCTGAGGGCGGAAAAGAGCAGGGCAGTCATGGCTGCCTGAGATTGCGCATGGCGCCAAGGCATGTGGACATAGAGTGTCTCTTGAACTTGCAGTCGTCGCTGATTATGATCCAGAGGAAGTGGGTGGCATGGGTCCTTAGGGGCTGCCACCCTCCTCGGGCAAGGGGGCCTGGCCCTGCCCATTACGGACGATATGTCCTGGGTCAAGACTGTGCTTGCGCGCCGAGTGGCTCGAGTGCTACGAGATACAAGTTTTGATGGTTTGTTTGGTTTGCGCCTACTTGCTACTTGCGGGGTTTGTGGCCACCGGCTGTCAACTGTCACTTCTTTTAGTTTGGGGGTGTTTGGTGAAAACGCTGCTGAGCCATGACGTCGTTGGTTGAATCTGAGGCGCATTTTGCTGCGCGAGCCGCCGAGGTCCGGCTGTCGAACGAGTCCATCCAGGCTCTGAAGCGGCATGGGTTCCAGACGCTGGGGCAATTAGCCTATGCAGTGGGGCAGCCGGGGCAGCTTATTCCTGAGCTTGAGTTCACCGACTGGTGCAGAGCTCACGTGCCGTCAGCGTCGGCGGCCGACTTAGCATCGTTGAAGCGCCTTGTCTTCGAAGCTCAGACCTTAGCCCTCACGCAGCTTCGTGCGCAAGTGACGGAGCCGGGTGCGGCATCAAAGAGGGTCCCTGAGGCAGAAAGGGAGCGGAGGCTCCAGCGCTTGAGGGATGACTTAAGTGGTCTGAACATTGAGGGGCCACTGGAGCCAGGGAGGAAGCTTTTGGATGAGTGTGCTCATCAGGAGGCTCTTGGACAGCTCAAGTACTTGTCGCCAGACAGATGCATCAGTCGCTTGCACGAGGTGACTCACGCCAAGCCCTCAAGCCGTCAGGTGGAGATTGACCAAAGCCGCTTGGTCATAAAGGAGGCCCAGGATGAGTTTTCGATGCCAGCTTCGTCCGCTCTGCAAGTTCAGGAGGCTCTTCGTCGGAGGGGGTTAGCATACACGTTCGCCCAAGCCGTGACGTGGAACTCTTATGACAAATATGTGACTAGGCTCTTCGCTCACATGCACCGGGATCCCCCACCGTCTTGCAATCGCATCTCTGTCAGCCAGATCGTGGAAGCTGACCGACTGGTGTTCACCAGGTTGATCGAACTGAACATCAAGCCCAAGCAGGACACCGATGGCAGCATGCCCATGGACAAGGCCCTTCATGAGGCTCTTGAATCGTATGAGGTAAGTTTCGCCTTGATGCACCTCCCCAGCAAGGGGCCCGGAAATCCACCTAGGCCTTGGAAGCGTTTGAAGACTCAGCATCAGGATAACCCTGGAAAAGGCAAGGACAAGAACAAGAAAGGAAACGGAAAGGGCGGCAAAACAGCTGCCCCATGGGTGAGCATTCCTAAGTTCATCAGGGATCGCGGCGGCCATGCAGCCACGCCAGCAGGTGAGCCGATCTGCTTCACATATTCTATTCACGGCAAGTGTGCAGTGCCCAATTGCCCCCGCAAGCATGTCTGTGCTCGGTGCTTTGGTGAGCATGCTCTCTTGAATCACAAGGACAAGGAGTGACAGGCTGTCGGCTCGGATCTTCCCGGGCCGACGTCCACAGCAGATGTGCAAAACTTTGAAACGTGTGCCCTTGGACCCATATGCCGCCGCCCCCGAATTGACTGAGTGCAATGGCGGTATTCACGGATGCAGCTGCATTGTTTAAGTCCCGATGCACAATGGCACGTTGATTTGAAAGAAGCGCAAGACTAGTGAAAGTTGCATTCGACTGTGCAGACCTGAGAACACAAGCCAAAAGAGTCGAGGTTAATGGATACAGCGCCAGGTTTTGGCGCGCACCCAGATTGCCACCTAAAACGTAGGCGCCGGTTGTCCAAGAATGGACCTCAGCGCTGGCTTCAGTCATGCGAGCTGGGCTTTCAGAAGGTAGTAAAGCTACTAGGGCTGCAATGCAACCCAAATCAAAAACCTGGGATTGGATCACCTCAAAGGCGAGCTGCTCGGCGGGGTGATCGGTAACCACGCATGCCAAATCAACCCTTGCACACAAACTTGCGAAGATGTTTGGATCGAAGGATGGAAGTGTGTCCCGACCCGTCATGCAGTGAACTTGGTCATGTCTTGAATTTTGATTGCGGTGCGATTCAATTTGACTCACATGTAAATCATGCGACGGTGCCCTGGTCTGGCTTGCGACGCTTGCTGGTGGCATTTACTGTCAAGGGCTTTGAAGCCATGGGGCCTGATCTAATCGAGAGTTTGTTGCAAGCCCAATTTGCGGTGCCTGCCATTGGCACCGCGGATGTCTTCCTCAGGCCTGCCTCTTGCTTCCCCGTGTGTGTGGAGCTGTTTGCGGGCATCGGCCGCCTCACTTCGCACCTTAAGGCGCACGGTTACCCAGGGTCCGTTTGCATTGACATCATGCCAAGCTCCTCGGCTTCAACGATCCCGCGAAAGTTGGACATCAGCATGCAAGTGCCTTTGATCATCGAGTGGCTGCGTTCCCCTCATGTATTTGCTGTGCATCTTGCGCCGCCGTTTGCCTGTGATGAACCTCTGTGTCTTGCTCTTGCGGCGCTCGTGAGCTTCGCTGTTGAAGCCGTACATTCTCCCGGTAGGGATGATCGCTTTATTCTTTTTGTGGAAATTTTTCTCTTGGAAAAATTAGTGGCATGTTGTTTTTCCCACGTTTTCATGATTGCATTCAGTTTTCATGTTTCAACAATGTGTTGTTGGACATGAGAATCTTTTATACCCTCGCTCGCCTCGAGTGGGATGGTGGGTGGGTCGAGAGAAATCTCTCGATTAGCTTTTGTGTCGCTGCGGCCATGGACAGCTCTCCCCGTTCCTCGTGCTCCGCTACGAGCATACAGAGTCTGCAAGAGTCCGTGCAGTATCTTGCGGGCCGCCTGCAGCATCAACAGGCCCGACTTGAGGTCCTGGAGAATCAGGAGCGTCAGCTCTCCACTCGTGTTCGAGTGTTGGAGTATCTGCTCCGAGGGCTGCGGCGGCTGTTCCGCACATTCAGCGAGGACTCGGGGCC